CCTGTAGTCTGATTCCCAGGAGGTTTAGGCAGAAGGATCACCTGAGCCCAGGAGGTTGAGGCTGCAGTGAGCTGTGATCAGGCCGCTGCACTCCAGCCTTGGTGACAAAGTGAGACCCCCAACTCAAAAAATAAAAAGAAAAATAAAAATCCATGGTTCCAACATTAAGCTCACACTGGGGAAATAGCTTTTCTTTATATTATTGTTCAAACCCTATGCGTTTTATATTTCCCAAGGCATTTCATCTGATGGCCCCATGATTTAGCTCTCAAGAGGTCACAGATACAAATATTACAACAAAAGGAACTACCAGGACTGGACATGCACTTAGTGGAGCAGCTGTCCTGCTCAGGTCAGCCACCCCACATGCACACTCTTTGTCTGAAGGGTCCCCATGGGTTTGAGAACCTTTAAGACTGATATGTACAGCAGAGTCCATGAACATCTACTCATCCATAGCTGAGTAGAGTTTATGATACATTACACCTAGAATGACCCTAAAATATCTTTGTCTAGTACTATACTTCCCAAAAGAAGAGTATTTGACCCATTTGGCCATGGCTTCAGAATGCAGGGAGGGCTGTTTGTGGAGCTGAGCCTGCTGGGGATGCATCTTCTCCTCTTAGTGCCATGGACTCCATCTCTTGGTCAGAGTTGCCAGTGGCAGCCATGTGGCCCTCCTGTTCCTGGAGTTCTCACCTGCACCCACCACCTCTCCTTTCAGTGGACCTTAGACTGAGCACACGAGCTGAGCATTGACACAAAAGCCAGACAATTGAGCATCCTCTGGAGACAGATGGGTGGAAGGCCAGGTCATAGGCATGGCTCTGTCATCCGTTGGCCCCACTGACACCCATTCTGGCCACAAAATGGCCTCAGGCATCCTCTGCCCCAGATAAATGCAGATAAAAGCCAAGGCTGCTCCACAAGCTGACAGGGGAGTTACTTTTGCTGGCCCACCCCAAGAAGGAAAGTGCTTCTTACAGGACACCTATTGGGAGACCCTCCTGTCACCCCACCCCTGACAAGGTGGTGCCAGTGGGGAGTATGGCAAAAAAGCGGAGATGCAGAACCTCTTGTCACCTTTTGCCTGTACATTGCTTCATCAGCAACATTTTCTACTCTGGGCTAAGGACAAAATTTTCTCAAGCAACCAGGTAAAGCAGGAAAGAGGTATAATTATTAGAAGGAAAAATATTTAAGAGCAACAACCTCAAGTCAGTTGAGTATTCCTGTGTTCCTCGATCAGCTGTCTCATTACCACTCCATGAAAGAAATAACCCTGAGTCTGTGGGTTCAAGATCAGCCTGGGCAACTTGGCAAGACCTCATCTCTACAATAAATAAAAATTAGCCGAGTGTGATAGCACACACCTGTAGCAAGCACCTGGCTACTTGGAAGGCTGAATCAGATGGATCGCCGGAGCCCAGCAGGTCGATGCTGGGGTGGACATGAGAGTGCCACTGCACTCCATCCTGGGCAACAGAGTGAGACTCCAACTCAAAAAACAGAAAAAAGAAATATCAAGGAAAGGAAGACCTATCTCCACCCAGAGCCCTGCTAAGTAGGGCAGAGAAACTGCAGCTCGTAGTAGATGCCATGAATAGGATCTAACCACCCAGCTCTTGTGACCTGGACAAAACTGCCACCAACAGCCAAGGCAGCCTACTCAGATCAACTGATAATCATCATCAGATGAAATCTAGTTCATTACTAAAGTCTTCATTGTTCATATTTAATTCCACACAACTGCATCATGAAGTGACAGCATGAAGGATTAAACATAAGTTACAGGTGACCCTGGACACACAGCCACAGGGCATTCAAAACTCAAGTCTTGGCACAGTGGTTCATACCTGTAAGATCAGCACTTTGGGAGGCTGTGGCGGAAAGACTGCTTGAGCCCAGGAGTTAGAGAACAGTCTGGGCAACAGAGAGAAAGAGACCTCATGTGTATAAAAAATGTCAAAAAAAAATTAGCCAGATGTGGTGGCATGCGCCTGTAGTCCCAGCTCCTTGGGAGGCTGAAGCAGAAGGACTGCCTGAGCCCAGGAGGTCGAGGTTGTGGTGAGCTGTGATCGTGCCACTGCACTCCATCCTGGGCAAGTGAGACTCCAATGCAAAAACAAAGCAAAACAAAACTCAAGTCTTTGCATTACCCATGGCACCTGCTACCCAAAGATACAAGTTGCTCCATTCCAAGGTGGGCCATTCCCACTTGCACTCAAACTACCTGAAGGCCTTTCTCACTCCACCCACTGGGCAGGAAACAAACCAAACACCTGCCCAGCAGTCCTTAGATAGAAGAAAATCATGTGGCTTTTATAAAAATTTGGATTTTGTAAATAAAGCCACTCCCTTGTCCCCTTGGGTAGATTTTCACTTATCCTGTAGGGCTCTGATGGTCTCAATGGCCATAACAGGATTCAAGGTGCTCTCCCAGGCCCTGCCCTGCAGGAGAAAATGCCTTTCCACAACAGGGTCTGTGGGCCAGGACTGACCCAGAGAAGATTCCGCTGTAGACTGAATGGTCAACCTGAAAGTTATATGTTGAAGCCCTAAATCCAGTGTGTTGGTATTAGGAGGTGGGGTCTTTGGGAGCTAATTAGGTTTAGATGCAGTCATAAGAGTGGGGCCCACCCCTTGGGATCAGTGCCCTTACAAGGAAAAGAAGCGACCCCAGAGCTCTCTCTCCCTGCATCAGGTAAGGACACCCTCTACAAACCAGGAAGGCCCTCACCAGAAATGGATTCTGCTGTCACCTTTATCTTGGACTTCTCGCCTCCAGAACTGTAAGAAAATAAGTCTCTGTTGTTTACATGCCCTAGTCTGTGGTATTATGTTAGTCAGCCAGAGCAGACTAAGAAAGTCCTGTAACTTTATGACTTAAAGGCTGTTTTGAACAAACTTCAGTATGTATTAATGAACTTATAAATATCCTGTAAATAATAAAAAATTATGAGAATTTTCAAACATACCCACCTCCTAGCTTCAACAGCTATCAACATTTTGCCAATATTGCTTTGTCTTTCTCCTTTTTATTAGGATTGTAAAGCAAATCCTAGGCACCATGTCACTCCCCCATAAATATGTCAGAATGCATCTTATGAGAACTTTTTTTTTTTTTTTTTTTTTGAGTCGGAGTCTCACTCTGTCGCCCACACCGGAGTGCAGTGGCCGCTCCCGGCCCCCGCAGCCTTGACCTGCCGGGCTCCGGCGATCCCTCCACCTCAGCCTTCCAAGTAGCCGGAATTACAGGCATGCACTACCACGCCCGGCTGATTTTTTGATTTATTGTGGAGATGAGGTCTCGCTGCCCAGGAGGGTCTTGAACCCACGGGCTCAGCCAATCCACTCACCTCAGCCTCCCAAAGGCGCGGGATGACAGGCTGAGCCACCGAGCCCACTCTGTACTGATATCTTCATCCTCTTCGGATTTGATCTCTCCTCTGGTCCACACCCACTCAGGACCCCATTGAGATCTGTCTTTGTGTCCTCCAACTTTGACCTTGGCTTAAGCTCCATCCCTGAAAGTAGCAGGGAGGGAGACAGGGAAGAGAGGGAGGAAGAGAAGAAGAGAGAAAGAGAGAGAGTGAGAGGGTAAAGGAGGAGGAAGAGAAAGGGAGGAAGGAAGGAAAGAAAGAAAGAGGGAAGAAGAACAGGGAGAAAGAAAGTCAAGACCCTTCAAAGGCGACATGGTACCCATCGGTGCCTCTCCTGTTCCAGCTAACCCCCACTGTCCACACTTGGCCTCTGTTCCACTCATAACCCCCAACCCAAACCCACGGGTGCCCCTGGGTGTGCCTTGCATTTTCTTCTCCTCTGGACCCTCGCAAACACCATCGGTTTCCTTCCCTCCCTGACCCTCCATCCCC